TAAAAAATATATTTATATATAATTACATTTTTTTGTTTGACAAATCATTTCATCAACTATCACTGAAATTCTACATTTGATACCAGCGTTCATTTTAGTCTAAATTGTGACAATATGCTGCCTTTCTTTGTTTTATTTACTGTAATTGAAAATCGCATATCTTGGTAGGATAAACAAAACACTATTTTCTGACATTTTATAGTCTTAATACAGAATTTGTTAATTAATCAGATTCATTTCTACAAGCCTATATATTTTACTGTGTAGAAACCATGTCTGTTTTTGTTATTTGTGCATTTACTCTTTGTCAATGTGCTTTGTTTTGTTGTCGTGATTTTTCAGACACTTCCTTGTTGCAACCCTGGATCAACAGAGGCAACATGTGAAGGCACATACAGTGTTTAACTAGTGCATTTATTACTGCAAGAAACTTGAACAAAGAGGAAACATGGTCGCTGAGGACACTGCTGCTGCAGAGAGCGTGGGCCAGAAAGCTTAACAGGTGCCAGAAATCAGCTGCTAATAGCTGAAAGCCCTCCAGATGATCTGCAACACATCAGAAATCATTTGGGAAACAGTGCTGGAAATGCTGATGCTTTTAAATATCAACTTATTTGGTCATCATGCTTTTTGGAACTTTGGTTTTCTTGGAACTCTGTTACTGTTTCAAATATCAGACGTTCACATTTTATGACAGTTTATGACTGACCTTGTTTATAGGCCTCAAATGCTGTTGTTCATCCCAGTAATAAATTAGGTGGCAGTGTTTTTGCAGTGGCAATTTAATTATTCCAGTCAGAGCTTTTTATGCACATGAACACTGAAGAAGTGCTTCATTAGTGAAGTCAGGTAGTCTTACTGAGACACAAAAAAGAAAGAATGGAACAAAAAAAAATGATGCAAAGAAAGAAATGACAGTGAGAGACAAACAATACCCAACCTCCAACAACAGCCTAATAGGGTGAAAAGGTCACCAAAGTTATCTGGCTTAATCTTCTGTATCAGTAATGGAAAAGCTACGGTATCACAGCACCAGGACGGCAGCCGTTGTCATGGGTTATCAATCACTGACTCAGGCATCGTAACCCTATGGGAAGCATTCTTTACTCTCCGCTCATCAAAGAAGCTCCTCTCCGTTAACTCAGTCAATGATGGGTTTCAGAAAAAGCCATTTCCCCCACACTGGTAACCCCCACGCTCTGCTGCAGCAAACAGTGGGTGTGATGAATGCTCTGTTCTGAGGGCTTCAGTAAGACGAAAAGTCGGGCTCCCCTTTATCTTTCCCACACTGCTCTTTTGTGCACCCTACAAATCCTGTCAGGTGTCAGCACTTAAAAAAACAACTTTTTAACATTTGTTTTACCTTGGCTGGAGGGCCAGGAGGCCTGGCTCTGTTGCACAGGACAGCCAGCATCAGAGTTATACAGTCAGGAAAATGTTTCAAAGTTGTTTCAATACACTTCTCTTCTCATCAACTTTTCTGACACTACTCTGACCTGCCCTGATGCAGAAGACTGCCAGATGAGGCACTTGAAATTTAAACCAAACTTTAATCGACATTTACAATCACCTCTAAATAGCATTTTACCCTAGTCTGCATTCTGCCTCCAGTGTGCTGGCTCAGGCCAGCTTTAATACATGTCATTTTTGTCAATAAATATCAAGTTTTCAAATTAAATCATGCACACAGGTGATCCACTTATGAAACTTGACATTTTATTGAATTAGGTGTCAAATTGATTGAATGTGCCTTATCAAAGAGCAGACAGTAACGTTTTAGAAGAGGAGGTGCAAAGAGGATCTTCTGCTGATGAGCCTTTAGAAGAGGAGGTGCAAAGAGGATCTTCTGCTGATGAGCAAAGAGCATGTAAAGTCTCAAATTTCTGCATGCAGTTTTGTCCATTGTTTCATCCCAGGCAAACAGGCCAGGAGAGAACAATACATATTGGGGCGGGGCTTTTTATTTGAATCAGGAAGTGACTGGAACAGGGGAATGACCTTGAATACAGTTTCAGATGTGAAACAATAACCGTCTATCATGGGCTGATACGTCTCCTAAGAAGCTACTAGAACTGAGTCATGTGATGTGGTGACACCAGGACTTCTGCTGCTGATAAGGTGACTGAGGCGTGTGCTGACTCACCGGCTGTTTGGTTTGGCCTTTCTGCGGTTTGCTGTAGGGACTGTATTTAGGCTTGGCTGGTTTACCCGCTGCTCGGTCTTTATGACGCCGACTGCTGATATGCTGAAAATGAGAGAGAAAACAAACTAGGTTTCAGCATGTCACTCTGCTATGGTTAAAGCAGCAAGTGTACTTACAAGTTTTGACATTACAACAATAAATTAACAATCTGTCTGTGACTTTGTACGCATGCCTAAAATCCACATTTTCCAAAGTGTCAATTTTCACAGAGCTTCAGAATATTTTAGAACAATTGCAATTTGCTGTTGATGTAGCCAGGAGTTGATTGTGGCTACAAAGACAAGCCAGGAAAGTCAAAGCGGACAAAATTAAGGAAAGATTCTTTCAGACACTGAACAGTTGCTGCCACCAGATCTGTTGTTTCCATCAGACACAAAGACAGCCATGCTGCCAAGGTGCACAGCGAGTGGCAGAGAGAGGCAGGCTGGCTGGTGCACTGGTGAATGTGCACTAATACACACTACTTTCTGCATTTAAAATGGCTGAAGTTTAGATTAGCCGCCACTTGCTGTGTAACCATGGCAACAGAGGATAAACAAGTTAATTTTACTGGTATCTCATCACCAGCAGTGAACAAACCTGTCAGTAAACAAAAAATCAGTTTGGACCCTTGGCATTTAATTATTTAGTTTGGGTCTCTAAATAATGGTTAACTTATATTAACTATATTAATTCTGCCCTATTGCTAACTATTTCCACTAATAAAAGCTACAGTAAATTGCTCGGTTTGGGCTACTTGATGAGATAAGATAATAACAGCAGCCTGTGGCCTGATACAACTTGTTAGTAACATTGGATATAGTCTCAGTGGTGGGATTGTGCCTAAATAGCAGTCCCATTATGATCCCAGTCCTGGTTCCATCCTAGGTTTTCCCTGTTCTGTCACTCTGGACAGTTTTAGAAAGTCATTCCTCATCCAGTTGTCCTAAGGTTTTCCCTTAAGCCCTGCCCTTCACACACACTAGGTACATTCCAATTTCCTTATTTGACTGCTGCTCGTGCTTTCAGCCATGCTCAACCTGGAAATTGTTCCAGTCCACCATTGTGAAGGACGTCCCTAAGCTCTTATTCCTGCTCTGAGGAGCAAGGTTTGAGGAGCGAGGAGGCAGCCTGGAGGAGTCATGGCCGAGAATAGAGGGAAGCATCTTTCATGAAAAGTTTTTATGGACTGACATGACACTGTATCAGAAGACAGGATCAGAAGAAAGAGCGTCTCAGGTCTTTATAAAAGTGCTCTCTTGATTAGCCCTTAATATATACTGCAAGCCTGTTTCCTCTGTTCAGACAGTTTGTCTGTTGTGCTCGTCATATCTGTAGTGCTTCTCAGCCCCAGCACTCCTGTCGCACACTTGTTCTGTTTTCCTGCACTGAAGCAGTTTGTTTGTTTTTACCCATGTTTGGATGATTTCCCTGTTTCTGGACTCTGCCTGTCTTGGCCTTTGCTTTCATCTACTCCTTTGGATTTATTGCTTGAATCAGACTGCTTGTCGTTGACCTTTATTCTGGACTCACACTCTGCCTCTGGTTCTCAGACAGAACAGATCAGCAGCTGACATCTCTCCCAAGCATGGTCCTTGAAAAATGTCTGAGTTAAAAGGGTTAATACTCTGGGAAGCATACATATGCTAAGAAAATCTTTTATCAACGTGCTTCTTTCATTGATTCTTGTGCGATTATAGTGACGCTAGAGGAGAGATTATACTGGGGGTAACCAAATCCAAATGATTCATCCAGGCAGCACCAAGATTCAGAGCAAATGTAATGGAAATCAAGCTGTAGAGCTACTGTATGTTAGTTGGTCAAGAGGAAAGTTTGCAGGTTAAACTAGCATGAATGCACAACTATAAACAGGTGCTGGTCACAAAAAAAAGTAATCAAATGTAAAGAACAACTGCACGATATAAACGTGCATGGTTTATTTAAAAAAAAAAACAAACAAGTGATGGTGCAACCCTTCTTCTTCTCTGCAAGTGAAACAGATTACTAGTGTCAAGCAAACATTTATGTGCTCACATCTCACACCTGATAGCAATCCACACTCAGTGACATGATCAGCAAATTCATACAGGTGTTTCCCTATTAACACCACAGTCAGTCTGAGAGCAGCCCCATTACATATTTAAATTGCATACAGACAAACAAAAACATAACTGTGAGAAATAAACCATATTGGTTATGTGCAAGAAAATATTCAAATATATCAAAAAATAGAAAAAAAATATAAGCATCCCTCTCTTAAATCATATGAAGACCATAGCTTTAAAAGCAAGTAATGTATATAGGGATATGTCAAATGTATCAAGAAAGAAAAGTACGTCTCAATCAATCATCAAAGCAGAATATTCTAAGCAGACATAACACTTCAGTCCTAGAGTACACCTTCTACAGGACATCAATAAAATGTAAATCTGTTAAAATACAGATTTGGGAAAATCATTAAAACATGAGTATATTTGACATGATATGGATATTTAATTCTTACATCTAGAACTTCATTATTATTTATTCCTCATTCCAAAATATAATCTTAATATCATTTTCTAATAAAACATGAAAGAATGAATAACCAAGTACATTCACAAAAAATATAAATACAGATAAGACTGTATGTGCTACTGGAACCACTGAAAATCCATTACTATTAATATCAGTACATGAACATCATACCGTAGAAATAGAGACTTAGGTTTTCATACAGGTTATTAAGTTGACAAAAAAACACTTAAGATCAAATTCAGGAGGAGTTAGAGTTTTTAACCTGGAGATCCAAGACTCGTTTCTCAGTAACAGATTCTTCAAATGACCACCCTTCAACATGCAAGGTAAAGAGGAAATAGGGTGGTTTTCTTCGATAAAGTGAACAGCTAAGAGGGAATTCATATTGTTACTTCAGATATTTCCTCAGTGCTCTGCTATGTGTGTCTTATTGTTGGTATTTAAAGTATTTCAATCTTATACGTAGGTACTGTAACGTCTAAATGTGGTCAGTGCAGCAACAAGTAGCATCCTGGTCATGTGCCAAGAACACCTGAGCCAATCAAAACACCTATTTACAGCAAAGTGCATGTGTATTTTAAGCATGACCTTTCTCCTACTTTGTGTAATGATCCCTGTAGCCAGAAAGTCTGCATTTCTGCCTCTGTATAAGGTGCTATACAAGTTTAAAATCACCATTAAAGGTAACTAGGGTAGGCCAAAGTTGGGATATGGATGTCAGAAACTTTTCTTGCCACTATAAGTACAAGACCAAACCAAGTGATACACTGTGAAGATTGTACCTTATTATGATGCTGTAATGCCTTGCAATATCATCCGAGCTCGTTAAGTAAACAGGAAACGCTTGTTTCCTGGCTCTATCTCACGTGCTTTGAAGAAGACCGGTGGGCCAACGTGTCAGCTAATTTTTTATAAATCATGAGAGCTTAGAGTGTGTGGTCATTCTTCACTACAGGGAAAAAGTTTGAAAGCGGTCACCAAAATAAAAGCCTTTTGAGCCCTATAAAGAGTGCACATTACTAACCCAGTTTTATGGCAGTCTGCCTGAGATACCGCATCTTCCTTTGGACAAAAGGCAGTCCAGAAAAAAAAACACTGACAATGATTACTGTTTTTTTTATTCAAGGTGGGGTTGATGCTTCACACATGTTACCTCAGGCTAGATGCCATTTCAGGGTAAATGGCTTATCATGTGGTGAGGCAGGAACCTGACTGGGGATGAGAGAGCACTACTAAAAATACAACTCCTCTCTCAAGGTGAAAAGTATCAGAGCTATAAAGGTTTCATTGTGACTGGAGCCATCCAGGATGAAAACAGCTGCAGCTGTAGCTTCTACCAAATAACACAGCTTCCATGTTAAATACAGTACAGAATGCTCATGTGGAGAATGGACATCAAGAAATATATTAAAGATTTTACGGACCAGAAACAACTAGTGGATCTGAATAAACAAGAAAAATAAATGAATATGGAATTTCATGCACACAAATTCTCTGTAACCTCAACCCAATAAATAATTCAGTGTGAGTACACGTTGAGAACCAGAGGCACATTTCTGGCTGTGTCTAAATTTCACAAGCCCTTGCAGTGGATTTAACGATCCCACTTTTCTTCTGGTTTCAAGCTATAACTGAAATTTGTCATGCTGGATTTTTTTCACTGAGAATTGCCGCTATTCAGAAGTACTCAGTAAAGGCCCCCCCATGAAAAATTCATTTAAAGCCTGTCTATTTTCAGTGAGCAATCTCAAGGTTAGCTCAGACAAGCCCAAGTGGTTTTTCAAGCATTGTAGATGAAATTCCCCACATGACAAAATGATCAGCAGATACAAGAAAAGAAGATTTGTGGGGTGCCCCAAAGCAACAACTCAACCACAATGGGGAAAACATCACAACACCCCATTTCCTTAACATCATGTAGACTAGAAGTGCTTTTCCTTATCTGAGGAAAGGGATTAGTTAGCCTTGGTTAGCCTCATGTTTATTGGAGAAACCTGATTTCAGTGGCTTGCCAGTGGTTACCCAGAGCTTTGCAAGACTGTATGTGCCCGACAGAGACGCTGCTGTGAAAGCAGCAATACAGAATAAAAGGAAAGATCATTATTGTATATATAAAAAAAAATTAAACACGAAGTCCAGCAAAAGGGACACTAAGTACTATAAATGAGTCTAAATGAGTGGGCTGTCAAATATTTTTGTAAAATTTAGTCGTGTGCTCTGCTGCTGCAGAGCCACTGTGTCACCAATATAAACCCTCCAAGAAAAATAAAAAAAAAACTCCTAATGCTGCAGCTTCACATCAATAATACACTTCAAATATGCCATCTTTACTGTGGGTTGTGTGGTGAGGGAGAAAGCTTATTATAGCTGCATGAAAGCAGGGGTTTAGGTTTTTACAGAGCATGCAAAAAGCATGTGGTTTTGTCTTTATCCTGATTTTCTCCTCTTAATTATTCTATTTTTTAGCTGCAATTTGACATGCATTGTTTGCATAACAGCTAATTATACATCAGTGACTGAGTGCTTCAGTCTCCTTCCTTCTTACCTGTTTTAGCTGAGTTTCTGAGTTGACATGCACATCACATGTCTCACAGTAAAAGGTTTTGTTCTGCAAGCCTGTTGATGATTTAGAGGACGCAGCCAATTTGCTTTTGACTCCCGGCCGAGGGAAGGACTTGATGGAACCCACGCCGCTCCTGGCCTCAAGCATCGTCTTATGTTTTGTACCTGCAGGTTCAAACAGCTCGGTCAGTGTATGGGCTTAACCTCCAGTACAGATGCTATCTGAAGGAAAGGTGAGAGCAGAGGTTTATATGTGTTACTTCATTTCTGATCTGGGAAATATGAGGGTCAATATGAAAGTGGCAGCTTCTAAATTATCCTGCTAAATGATCCTGATCAAAAACCTTGTAGCACCGGTGCAAAACCATTTGAGTAGTGTTGTGTCTGGAGAGGGGACAGACTAGCAATTAATCAGGCCATCATTACCAAAAGCTAATCCTCCTGACACAATGATGAAACACCAGGGGAAATAAACTATATATATATTATTACATGATAAACATAAGGAGTAAAAAAATAGTTCACAGAACTGACTTAGATGGCTGCAAGTAATTCCAGTATAATAGGGGAAAAATAAGCCACTACACCAGAGAATCAGAGATGGAACCAGTGACCCATTCTGAGATATTAATGAGCCAGTTACAGCACAGTCACTTGTCAGCACCAGAGGTTGCACGATGTGCATCAGCAGCTCACTCCCTGGGCCAGTCCTCATTTGTTTCCTGTTATTGTCACTTTTGCTGAGATGGACTTCCTGACATGAACTTAATCTCACTAAAAACCTTGCCAGAACTTCAACATGACCTGGCTGGAAGAAAGATGATGAAAATGCAGCAGCCAAATTCCCCAGAACTTTCAGGTGATCAGTCTGCCTTTGCTGGAGTCATACTGAACACTGACTGTAAACAAGTCTGCACTTATGATGTTATAAGGTGTCACACATGCAGGGGGACCTTTTGATCAGGGTCAAATATAATGTATATAACATTAGTACAGACTACAAAGAATGAGGAACAGGCAACAGCACAATAGCTACAAAACAACAAGTGAAGAATGGAGCCATTGTCTGCTCTATTGGCTTCTAGCTGTTCAAGTCTTGAGGTCCATTTTTTCCCTTTGACATCAGACCACAGTCCACACCCAGACCCAGTTTAACAGGCCAGTTTGTTTCCATGCATCCAGTCCACCTGTCAGTAGATGTAAACCCAAGAACTTTAGTTGTCAGGAGACAATGCTACCCACTTAGCTACAATTCAATTGTTTTCAGAAAACTAAAATTACTTAAATAAGCCACTGAGGTTTAAAGCTCAATAAGTCACTCCTTACCTGACTCCAAAGGAGAGCTACACAAGAATTCCTATATGCCTAGACTGTCTGTTTATGCATACATAGCAAATAAAAATCTTGACTTGGAAAAAAAAAAAGAACCTATGAAGCTCTGTCCTGGGAAGGCCCCTTGACCCAGTGCAGGTGATGGGTGAAAGGAGGATGTTAGCCAAATGAGCATCCTCGCTGGAGAAGGACTCCCACCCCATGCATGAGATTTTGATAGCACTGGGCAGCTTTGTCAGCAACAGACTGCTTCATGTGACGGAGCTGCTGCTCAGCATACCAGTGTGCAATATTGTTTTGCTTTTTATTATTATTGTATATTTATATTGTTCATATTGATAATGTCTGTTACTTTTTGATTCTTCATACTAAGTTCCTTGTTTCTATCCTTTTGTTGCTGTAGCATTAAACAATCATAAACCTTGCAGTGAAAAAAAAGTAAACATATACAACTGAAGTTACAGCTTGTTTATGCTTATTCCAGCTGCTCTATTTATAGAATGAAACACAAAAATGTGAAAAAAGCAGCGGCAGTGCAGAAAACAACAATGAGAGGAAAAGTTATTTTTCCAAACACAGTTTCAGCCCAGGTCTGAAACATGATCTTTTTCAGTTCAAAAATGAACTGAATACGTTCTTTTTCATAATTATTTGACCTGTTGTGTATAGCTGTTCCTCTGTCTGCCACATGCTGCAGACAGAACGGCACCCACAGGCTTTTTGCACAGTAGCTAAAGTTAAATGTTCTAGCATGGCTGCTGGTGGGGAAATGGTCATTCAAAATTAAAGTGCTAAACCAGAAATGTATTCCTTTGTGAGAGCAGATCACATTCTCTGTATATGCTTTCTGAAAAACTATCTTGGTTTAAACCACTGAACTTAAAGATTCCAGTGATATTTTGGCTATTACACCAAATAACAGGATACCACTGAGACACACACATGCACAAAAGATCCACCCACTTGTCAAGAATGAGCTACAACAGTGGCTCAGCTGGCTGGTCACAGACACTCTGCTGAACAAACGTGATCACCATGAGTTCACATAGGATGCTTTCACTGCTTGCCTACCATATTTGTAACCTTGAGGTCATTTGCATTATCCTGTGCAACCAGTGATGTTTGTAAATCTGAAGATTTCAGTGGGTGTTTGTATCTGTCATGTTGAGCAGCCTGCTGATACAGTACACCACCCTTTGACTCTGTTCTCTTGCTCAAACTTTCAATAAGGCCATTTTTAAAAGCAGCTGGACATTCCTGTGCACAAAGCTCAGCCTGAAAACACAGATGACTCAACATACCACGTGTGTCTGACACTGTGACTCCGAACACACTCTGCTTTTGAAAGCAAGGATGTTTCACAATACTTGATCACAAATGCATTCGAGGTTACTATGGAAACCACTGCCAACCCCCCAAAAACTTAAAAATGTGTTTTTCAGCCCTGACAGCTAATTTAATTCACCAACTACAACATAAACACTTCAACACCACTGCAGATTGATTCTGTGAATACCCAGTGGATAACAACCTTCTTCACAAAAAGGACCACATCACAAAACCATTTCAGCGAGCCTGTTGTGTTTTTTCTTGGAAATTACATTATACACAATGGAACATTCATGTTAAAATCTGTTTGCTGAGAAAGAACACAGCAGGTTAACGGCTCACTACTACAGTACATGCAGCCTCCTGTACAATTACTGCAAACACAGCTTATGTTTACATCTGCAGCACATGTAGACACATGCCTCTTACCACTGTTGTGAGCCTCCAGCTGTGACGCTGAGTTGACCGCCACTTTGCAGAGTGAGCAGTACAGAAGACGTCGCGCTTTCTCCTCCTCGGTTTCTGTATCTGTCTCTCCCTCATGCTCAGGGTCCGGGTCTGGTTCTGAAGGAGAGTTGAGGTTTGAAGGCCTCTCGTCCCCTCTAGCAGCTGAGGTAGTCTCTGAGGCTATGGTTGCTGTGGTGCTCAGGACAATTGGTGAGGCCACAGGTGTGTGTGTTGGTGCTGTAGAGGTTGCCAAGGATGTCAAGGGTTGTGCAGGTCTGAGCACAGGGCATAGTGGTAGGGGCACTGCTCCGTGTACACCATCTGTACAGAGATTAATTTTCAATCACATGGCTCCATTCATCATTTTATTTTGCTCATATAATGTTCTATCAGCAGGTGGCTGAACTTTTTTCATTCATATTGTTTGTTTTTGATAAACTGTCAAGAGGTTACATGACATTTGGATACACTTTGGTTGACAACAATGCTAGTGCTAATGAAACATATGGCAGGTCCTGAGGAATAGACAGCTCGCTTCTTAAATTAGGCACAGCAGGGATGGTTTAACAGCAAAACACACCTCATTGTTTCACTATCAAAGGTCTAACAGATGAGAAAGATGAACACTCCCACTGAGGAAACTTCATTTGCCAGCCTAGAAAGTGACTGCTGAAGTCTCACCAACCTTAAACACATTGAACTGTTGATAAATGAGGTAACCAGACTACACTGGTGCGGCGGTACGTTGATTACTTAAAGCAATAGTAGGCCAGAAAGTCACAAAACAGAATGGTGATGAACACTGATAATGCCTCCTAAAACTTAAGACATGAAATAATAAAAACTATCACCTGATACATTACCAATAATGTATACATTGTTTGCAAGAGCACAGATTCACAGTACAAGTGATTTAGCTATTGCTGGACCAAGATTTGACACCAACTAACTTTCGGCACCATGGGTGTTATTGTATCTTATGGAGTTTCTCCTTCTTGTGATCATCATATGACTTATCTTCTATGACAGTTTATGTGTACTATTATCCATCCATCCATCCATTTTCCTCCGCTTATCCGGGACCGAAAAAAAGAGGCGTTCCCAGGCCAGCCGAGAGACATAGTCCCTCCAGCGTGTCCTGGGTCTTCCCCGGGGCCTCCTCCCGGTGGGACATGCCCGGAACACCTCCCTAGGAAGGCGCCCAGGAGGCATCCGAAACAGATGCCCGAGCCACCTCAGCTGGCTCCTCTCGATGTAGAGGAGCAGCGGTTCTACTCTGAGCTCCTCCTGGGTGACCGAGCTCCTCACTTAAAAAAATAACCTGCCATATAATGTGTACTATTATATGGTAGGTTATTTTTTAATTCTGTGTGTTCTGATGTCTGGGTGTGTTATATGATTTGCATTGCATTTTGTTATTGTTAAACACTTTATACGTGCTATATAAATAAAATTGCTATACCAGCTATTTCAACTGTTGGCTGGAATGAGCACTGAGGCTCTCAGAAAACAGCATGCCTCTTTTTCATCGCCACATTGCAACACATGCAAATGCACAGTGATCATGCTAGAACATATCTAATCCTAGGATATGATACACCTGTACAATTGTATGCTATTCAAACAAACCTCTGCCTTAACATCTGTGTTAGTGAAGCACAAAATGTGTAAATTAATGTATAAATCCAGTTACATTATATTCAGAGGTGTTCCTAATATTCTGACCCTCTCATGCGTGTTGCTGGGGAGGACAAAAATATAAATGTAGTCAAGTACCACCTTTAACTATGAGCTCAATAATAAGCATATAATTTAATTTATACATTTATGACAACTTCACCAAAAACTGAAACATTTTGAGCTTCATAAACACAAATGTTAAGGTAGAGGTGCTGGACTGAAGTGCATACAATTGTACAGGCATACCTAATAAAGTGGCCTGTGAGTGTATATTTTCCAGTCTGGGTCTGTCAAGCAGAAGTCCTGTCCATACTGAGATCAGACCCAGTGGTTCAGACTTGACTTCGAGACAAGCAGCCTTGATTTATATTTATGATGATAAAAAATGTTTAAAAACTGCCCCAAACTCACCAGATGGGTTATTCAGGAGCTGTTATGTATGCACATATCAAACCAGTGTAATCTAAGTTATTAAAATGGACAGCGCTGCAAAATAATCAGATATCTAATCCACTGTCAGTACACGGGATCACATCAACATGTTGTGCTATGAAAGAAATGTCTGATATTTTTAGGAGAACCGACAGCAGTGGATCAATATATTTGACTGCTAAAACAACATCACATATCAGTGTATGGAATACAGAGAACTGCTGCCACATTCACGAAAATTTCATTTCGTCTTGGCAGCCCCACCTGATCGATGCCAATGCCTCTGTGTTCTCTGCACTCCAGTGTCACCAAATGAAGATCAGCCGGCCAAGAGAGCCAATCAATAGTGAATTATGTCATGCTATTTTTGTGAGCCATTATATGTGGTCCTTATTTATCCCAGCAAAGGTGTCTGCTGTTGGTGCTACAAAACCTCTCGAAGTTACAGCTAGTTGTCACAACGTTCGCTTCTGCCAAAGGTTCAAAAGTAATATCAGAGGTAAAAGCAGCAGGTATGTTTCTGTTCAACCTGTAATGAAGGAATACAGATGTTCTTTATATAAAAAAAAACTCCAAAAGAGCTTCCATTGAAAGCAGTTTACTCAAGCTGAAGAACTGCTTAGTGTCCAGAGACTGAGGTCTACTGTTGCACTGACATAGTTGAGCTAAATATTTCAGTTATGCATTCCAGGTTTTTCTTTTAGTGCTTCAATGTTTGTGAGCACCTAATCCATTAACCTCTGAAATGGGTTTGAGGCACATTTATACTTGTAATGCTCTCCTCTTACAGTTGACTGACTCCAGCTATAAAATTATATGTACACCTTCACTGCATGATTTGAATGCAGACCTTTAAAGTAATGAGCAGGAACATGTGGTACATAAATGTACAAAATATAGGTTGTCAGTATTGAAATGCAGTTAGGTAAGGCTACCAGGGTGTGTTCTAGCATAACAAAATCATAAAAACTTGATTTAAAAAATACCTTATTTGCTGCAGGGCTGGTGAGTGACACGGGAGGGTCTATGTAATAGTAATGATGGCATTTAAGAGTAAAGTTAAAATATATGCAGTATTAGACAAGGTGGTGTTCAGATAACAATCTTGTCCTGAACACCAACAAGACTAAGGAGGTCATTGTGGATTATATGAGGTGCAGGAAGACAAAATATGCTCCTCTTCTCATACACAGGGAGGTGGTGGAGCAAGTGGATAACATCAAGTTCCTGGGCATCCACATCACATCTGACCTGACCTGGTGTCTGAACATATCCTACCTGGGGAAGAAAGCCCAGCAAAGGCTTTTCTTCCTCAGGAAGCTGAAACGCGCTGGTCTCTCAGTTGCTTGCAAACTTCTACAGAGCGACAGTAGAGAGCATCCTCTGTCTCAGTGCGACAGTGTGGTACGGGAGCTGCACTGCACAGAACAGAAAGTTCTTGACCCGGGTGGTGAGAACAGCTCAGGGCATTGTATGGAGCCCTCTTCTGGATCTGGACTCACTATACTCTGACCAGATCTAGAGGAGGGCCGGACGGATTGCTGCAGACCCCACCCACCCAGGCAACAGTCTGTTCGTGCCTCTTCCCTCCAGGAAAAGGTACAGGAATATAAAGACAGTCAACCAGACTGAGACTCAGCTTCTTCCCCAGAGCTGTGAAATCAATCACCCCCCCTAATCCCTAGTCACACACACAACCTCCCCCCTATGGACAGACACAGAACACTGGACCTCACACCTCCTCCTAAAGACTGAGATTTGCACTGAGCTGCACCTTATAATGTTACTACGCTCTTGCTGTAACATGCTGCTGACCTGATTAGGTCCCATACATCTCTTTTTATTTGTTCATATTTTTATACTGACTTATTATTTACATAACACACAATTGTATATGTCTGTCTTTTAAGAGCTGCCGGAAAAAAATTTGTTGTGCTTTGCATAATGACAATAAAGATTCTTGACTTGACTATTACTGTAGCTGGTGTTCATTTTTTCCCTGAGATACAACCATGCCTTAATGAAGGCCTCTAATATTTGGGTAATAAATGTTTTTAGAACAATATGGTCTTCATTTCCTTTGGCGTAATGTTGTTCAACTGATTTACCGTTAAAGGCAATGAGAGGCTTGTCACTACAGCTGTTGTTTGACTGTCTGAGAGACGTGAGAACATGACTGGCTCTTAACATTTTACATCTTTATGAAAACAAAACAAAGTATATGTTGTTTGGCGACCCGGGTACCATATCTGCCTTTGACTGGGGTCTTGGTCCCTTGGCTCCACATCTAAAGACGCTCATAAAAACTTAGGAATGATATTTCATAGTGAGTTGAGATTTGATCACTGCAGATAAACTCAGCTGTGAAGTCGAGTTTCTTCCAGGTGAGGTTATTAAGTCAAGTCAGGGTATTCCTTTCTTTTAATGATTTTGAAATTGTAATCCATGCTTTTATTAGTTCCTGGTTTGACTACTGTAATGCATTGCACTCAGGTGTCAGTCAGTTGTCCCTCTCTCATCTTCAGGTGGTTCAAAATTCTGCCTCTCGTCTCTTGACAAGTACAAGAAAATTCTGTCATAAAACCCCAGTAAAATATAAATTGAGATTTAAAAACATTTTTGAAGGATGCAGAATATTGTCTGCTTATCGTTGTTGACAAAATTCAAGAAAATATCCAGATATCATTTGTTGTCAATATCGCACACCCCTAGTTAACCAGCAGGGGATCAAGCGTCAGTGATTCAGTTTGGCAGACCTATGTCTAACTTCTAGATATATATATCTATAAGCATTTTTGTAAATGTTTAAGCAGATGTCTGTGGACTCATCTAAAGAAGAACATCTGGCATGAAGGTCATTATTCCAGGCTGTTACTCTTCATACCATGACTGAAGCATTTATTTAAAGCCTGGACACAACCTGAAAAGGGAAACGATGAGTTTCCTTATTAGTTGTGTGTAATTTATGTCCTGTGTAATTAGAGATGAGGCTGAATTAGTTACAGGCAAAAGTCAGAACATCTACCTAGCTCTTCCAGTCCAAGCACTCGTAAACACTGCCACTTTTAGAGTGTACAAGATCACAACAATCTCAATACAAAATAGGAAGACACGATTTCTACATTTTAATCACAAGAGAGCAGGAATAAAAATATTTTCAGTGCGTTGGCGTGCGATAAAACAATCAAGCTTGTGTTTCAAACATGATT